GACTTCATCCGAATCCGATTTCATCAACATGCATCTTGTGCGTAAAGAAGGACAATTCTTCACCCATATTCACTCTCTCCCACATAGACATGCACACAATCAGATGCACATGCGTCATTTCCCAATTCACATTAGATAGTGGGGCTGTTTGTGAGGCAAACCTATGTTTACATGACCTGTATTCACCCAATATCGGTCAAGATTATAAGAGGACTGGAAATTGAATGATACCACAATCATATGAGTATATATGAAGAGTAACTGGGTTTCGATGAATCTCCTGTGATAACATTATTGCTGGGACTTTCATTTCGTTTGAAAGTGTAAGAAGAAGAGATTTGAAGGTTGAATTCCGTTGTCTTAGTGTTAACTTGACAATTTTACAAGGTGTCCCAGCTCTGATGATGTCCATCATATGATGGACGAAAGAACAGCCCGTTTTCACCCGTCGACTGCATCAATCTCAGCGTCATATCAAAGCCAAACGGCTGCAGTACAACGGGATTCAACCGTCCTCTTAGGGTGAGATCGACCTTCGAATCTCTCCTTCTTACACTTTATATGAAATAAAAGTCCCAACAATCATATGAGTGCACCTCACGTTTCCAGTGAATTTCACATAGCCTTGCTTTCCCATAGGGTATACCCATTCCGGCTGGAGCGAACTGTAGTTTCGACCTCGCTTCAACTGGTCTCATCACCACTCTCGGCGGGATTCGAACTATGACATGTCAGCATATCATCTCGTCACATTATAGCCACCATGCCAGACTGCAACAAATGCGGTTGGGTCACAGGGAAGATGTGAATTTCAACGAAGGCCAGGTGTTTTCCCATATCCCATCATGTGGTGGGATTTTAGATGAAAATAAGTTGTAGTCGCTATGGTGATCGATTACGTTACCTATTTTTCGTGTGTAAGTATACTTTCAAGGCTATCAACAGATGACATATATGATATGTATTTATCCTATTTCTTTTCAGTCTCCTAAACCTGCTTGTAGAATGAAAACCTTTGATTTGCCTTTGAAATCTTCATCGGTGCTGTATATTGGGTGACTGTCGGACGAAACGGCAACTTGCCACAACTTCACACTCCAAAATCCGTTGGGGCTGTCGATTAAACGGAGGTGAGATAGAATCTACAGTCGAGTGAGCCCGAGAAAGCCTTTCGAAAGGTCTGAAAATTTCAAATTCAATGATGTCCGGGGTCTACTCATTTCGTCATGGCAACACTCATCTTGTGCGACTCAAAATAGCTAATGCTCTCGTCTAAGAAATACACCCATCAGAACTTGCACGAGGCGATGGAAGACATAAGGATTGATTTTGAGGAAAAAAACAGTCAGCATCGACATGGAAACCACAGTAGATTGTCACTACGGCAGGCCGTAGTGCAAGTGCTCACACATCTGCACACACCTACAGTTGAAAGGGAAGTAAGTTGGCCACGAAGTCCAGGGGATTGGAGGAGACGCGAGGTAACTTGGGCTACTTTAGACGCACGACTCGGTTTCCAATAACGTTTCCTGCGGATGAGCACGAACTGAATCGACGTCAAAACTGCCGTCCAGAGGGAAAAAGTAGACCATCTGATTTACTCCCTTAATTGTAGTACAGCTTTAACCTAAATGTTTCGATAGCGCTGACCAGGAGAAATGTGTCGTCATCTTCTGGTGTTATCAACATTCTAAACTCCACATTATACACACTCACTCGAGACCGTTCAACTATTGTGAGCCAAGAGATTGCCTGG